CGCAGGTGCTGCCGGCCCAGGCCAGCTGCTGGACGCTGGGGGGACAGGATGCACGGGGGGAGGGGGTGTCCGTGAGTCAGAGGCCTCAGGAAACCCGGAGTCCGGGTGTTGGACCCTGGCCCACGCCCATGCTGAGCCTGTTTCCTCGTTTGTAAAAGCGGGAGTGGGACTTGCCGACTGGCTCCCGGCTGCTGCGCTGGTCTGTGGCCTGTGACTGAGGCCACCCGTTCAATTCCTGGGCAGGGCACATGGCCGGGTTGCGGGCTGATCCCCTGGGGAGCGGGCAGGAGGCAGCTGGTCAATGATGCTTATCTCTCTATCCCTCTCCCTTCCTCTCTCTCTAAAAATAAGTCAATTAAAAATATATTAAAACAAGGTGGTAGTAAATATCACCCAATGGACTATGATTATAGTCGTTGTTGCTGGTGGTCGTCACACCAACTAGACCGTAAATCCTTTTAGGAGGAGGGTTTTCTGGTCGCACGTCTGGATGCCCCCGAGGTCCGCCCTCCCATGGCAGGGGCTGCCCCCTGCAGAGGTCCGACCGCTGTCCGACCTCCCCCAGGTTTTCAGGATGATCGAGGAGCGCCCCACGCATGCCATCACGGTGCGTGTCTCCTATCTGGAGATCTACAACGAGAGCCTGTTCGACCTCCTGTCCACGCTGCCCTACGTGGGGCCCTCGGCCACGCCCGTGGCCATCGTGGAAAACCCGCACGGGGTCTTCATTAAGGGCCTGTCGGTCCACCTCACGAGTCAGGAGGAGGACGCCTTCAGCCTCCTCTTTGAGGTGAGAGATTTCTTTCTTCCTCCCTCCTTCCCTTCCTTTCTTTCTCTTATTTTTTCCCTCACACCCTTCTTAGTTTTTTACTTTGATAATCAGGATGAAAATTAAAAGATACTCATTTTAGCAATTTCAGCTCGTACTAAAACATAGGAATAGCTCTGGCCGCATGGCTCGATGGTTAGAGTGTTGGCCCCGCGCACTGAAGGGTCACGGGTTTGATTCCTGGTCAAGGGCACCTACCTGGGTTGTGGGTTCAATTAAAAAG